TTTTTGTTCATTTTAAACATGATATTCTCACCCACATATGATGGAAAATAGTTCAATAGCAGTCAAGTGGCAAGTCGTATATTTATCTGGGACATACTATAAGGCAGTTAAATTAGTCTGGATGTTTGGATTCATAGAAGATGAATTTAGGACAGTGTAGTTGTGGTGTTGAAAAACTTTACTTTATCTAATGTAAAAAGAAACAATTTTTGTCGCTGTGAATGCACAGGCTTGTGAAATCTTACAAAGAAAATTAATATTTAGTCCAAGGGAAAAGAAGACAAACAAGATAAAAAATGAAAGACATAATTGTTTAATATATTTTGTTTAAGTTTGATGGAGGAATGCTGTTCTTTTTTATTCTTTTATCTTAATATCTTATATATTAATTCTATCAATCTTTCTAGGGCAGGTGTCTACGCTCTGTGTCCAAGGGAACTGCCATCACTTGAACTAAATAGCTGCACTTGTCTGTATGACATATAATGGGGACAAAGGGGGAAAAAGAAAATAGAACTGTCAAGGTTATCATGTCACGTAGTTAAAAAAATCTCCTGTTGGCCTGTTTTACACTAAAATTCAGTCAGAACAGCAGTGTATGGCTTCTCCAGTTAAAGGAAACATAGTTAAGAATAGGAGAGTGAAATGTGGCTCAAAAGCAGATCTCGAGTAGCAAAAAATGTATTTCTACTACAGAAGAGCAAAATCATACTATATCCTTTCTGTGGTGTAGTCAGTGAATAATATTGTGTAGTACAATATGTGCAGAGATATTTCAACTACTTACCAAGGAAATAACTTTGTGCAAGGACGAATCAATCTGTAGCAAGGGAAAGAAATAGAAGCCACACAGCTTGCCCTATCCTTTTAACAATTGATCTATCTGTGAGGTGTGTGCGTGTATGTGTGTGTGTTTGTGTGTGTCTTCATAAATTTGTGTGACAGTGACTCTCATATAGCTACTCCTTCTATAAAACAGTGAATTAGCTCGCTTTTCGATCTCAGGGTTTATCTTATTCCACTCTAATCGGCATATTGATCTGAATGGCAAGAGCCTGATTTAGACAAGAGAGCCAGTGTAATCTTAAAGTCCATTCACATCCTGATTGTGAGTCTCAAGGTTATATGCAGTGCACCCAACCACAGTAAAATAGCTCAATACTCACATCATTACTCAGGCCTATAACCAGCGCCTAAACCACAGAGCTAAATCATCCACACTGTTGAGTTGCTGTTTTGGTCAAATGTGAGAGTGAGTTAGCTATTCTTTATAAGTTTAGGGTGTTTATTTGGGCTAGTTATTTAAGTTTTATCTTAAATGCTTCATTATCTTACACAAACCATTCCTGAACATTTTTTTAGTGTGTTTGTTATACAGCCAAATGACCAGGGAATGGTGTTGCCATTAAGGGGTATGCAGTGGTTTTCACATTGTTTTTGGCATGTCCTACATTAAAAGCTAGAAAGCATTTAAATGAAGTTGGCAACTGTTTACAGGCAATGTGCATCTTTTATGCAAACTTTGGAAGCAACCACTTGCAACCACTTACTAACTGGTCAGGGAAACACATTTTTCCCAATAAGAGTATCAACAAATTCTTGTTTATCCTTTTCCCATACACAACTCCTATTCAACTTAGGCTACGTCCATCCGTACACGGGTATTTTTGAAAACAAAGATTTTCCGTTTTCGTTTTAAAAAATAATCCCGTCCACAC